TATTGTCCTGTTCTACTGGAACATAAGTTCCATAAGGAAGAGATTCATTTGTTCACTTCTTTATCTCCAATTCCTAGAATAGCACGTATTGGACTCTCCATCAATACTTGCTGAATAAATATCAACCTTCTGCAGACCAAACACACTTCACTGAAACTATGTTTAAATAAAATTTAAATTTCTTTTTTTTTCATTAGCCTAAATTGGATTTGAGGAATTGAATATTCCTTTTTCATGGAAAAATGGAAAATTATAGAAACATAATTCTTTATAATACTAGTTTAATAATCCATTCATTGCAATAGAAAAGTTTTTGTTAAAGAGTACTTTCTGCAGAAAGGATTTATTGGTTTGGTCAGGTTCTTTAAAAGATATGAAATTAAAAAGATTTAAAGAGCCTTGCCTAAGTAGATTGTTTTACTTCATGACTTCATAATGATAATAAACAAAAAAAGGTTTACTTGAGAATTACTTATACCACGCTGTTAAATATATCATATGGCCTTTACTAAGCATTTTACTTAAGCAAATAAACATTTCACAATTAAATATAGAGTTCCAGTCACAGAATTCTCTCTGTAGTATATTGATTTGGTATTATATATCAAATCCTTACCGGTGAAAAAACAAGGTGAATTCTTAGCAATATCTAAAGAAACAGTTTCTGTTCTGTTTGTAGTGCTTTTTCTTCTTTCAGTTATATCTGCTGATACTATTCATTATCTAATACCCATCTTCATTCGAATGATTGTTACCTTGTACTCTTGTATCAGTACTTTCATACTAATGCAGCAAATCTTAGTCTATCTATAGTTATTTGAATGCAACTTTTACTATAACTATAACTTTGCTACTCTTGAATTATATCTGTACATGTTTTAGATGATACGTTTTCTGGCCTCATTGAAAGAGATGTTTGTCATAAAATTTTAAGATTTCTGTGGAGCATGATTAGTCAACCCAAGCTGAGCAGCCACCATACACACACACTACTTTATAGAAATTCTCTTCCTAACCTTTCTTATAAATCAAAATTATGTGAAACAATATTGATTGTCATGTGCTACGTGCCCAATTCTTTTCCAGTAAACCAAATTTCCAGCTTTAGGCAGACTCCTATGGAGTGAGGAGAGCAGGAGACCTGGCAAGTCAGTGGGTGACAGATGCTGGAGCCAAGTCACCCTGACAACTTCTCTCCATAATAAATCTGAGAAGCTAATCTCTGCTAAATTGTTAATGGCTGTTAATGAGATACTCTATACTCAGTTACCACTCCTTGACAGTGTATTTGCATTTAAATGAGCCTCTTCTGGAACAACTCCCTAAACCAAAGGACTGGTTCCACTGCAGACAGCTTCAGGGACATGGGGCCTCTGGCTCTGTTTTCACATTGTCCCTTGCTGAGACTCATGATATCATTAGGCCATTTGATCTCTAATTCCAGGATATCAGAAAGGAAGAACTGCAGACCTCAAAGTCATGATCAAAAGATTATTTTTTAAAAAGACTATGAAAAGTCATAGAGTAAAAAAAAATAATCTTCTTTTCACTCTCTCCTCTACTCATGAAGTTATCTGGTATACTGGTGTATGTCACATTCTCAGAAGACAGATTCTCTATGTGTTGACATGAAACGTTTCTCATTTATTTTTTCCTGTTCTTCCTAGTTTCCTTATACCTCTTGTCATGGTATAGTACCCGAACAGTGGATTTCTGCCATTTTACATCTTTAATTTTTGTCTTCCCTAGCACCATCAACACTGATTCGCTACCATAAGTAAAAACACCTGACAAGAGTATTTTGATAGATGAAGGAACTTAAATTATCATGAGAAACCATCTATACCTCCAGTGAGTCTGGCTTCATAGAATGGAAATTATACCATATATAACAGACTATGTTCTAGGACTGTCCCAAGGATTAAGTTGCCACACTTAATCTCCACTGCCTCAGACAAATGGAAGAAAAAGATCAAACATCTACTTTCACTCCTGAGGACAAGCCAATGTAATAGCCATTGTTCTTCTTATTTCAAAAATGAGACAAAATCAGATTGTGAATAAAAGGATCTGAGCTCAGATCTGTTCAACTACAAAACTCCTGAACTTCAGAGTCATTTCAATCTTCTGGTTCCCTCACCTTCTCTTCCTCCTCCTCCTTAACATTATATGGACATTTACCTCTAGCACCTGATACCTAGCACATCCTGTAACTAAATTATAAATTATCAAGCATTGGATTTAGCATATTCTCTCTTCCAAGTATTTAAAATTCTAAAAAAGAAGATGTAAGCCTGCCCAAATGGCCAAGGATGAGCTCTCCCCAATGCCTGCACTGGGCAATTTCACATCACCTCATCATATCCTCAAAAAAAATCTTTGGTGGATAGGATCTAACCTCCTTTTTACCATGGTTCCCTTTAACAATCTGGAGCAGATTATTTAACTCTTCTTAAAATAACACTTTTAAATTCATACATATATATAACTTCAAAGGAAACTAATTACCAATTTTTAAATGCACGTATTAAAATATTTTAAAAACCAAATCTGTGATATAGAAATATACAAGCATTTAAATTCACTATTATTAAACTACGATACTTAAAAATAGTGATATTGAAGTAATGTGCCAACAATTCTTATACTGCTATCTATGTATATTGGAATTGAACAGTTGAGCAAATGGATGAAAGATTGTTGGAACCACACTTCTTACTATTGTTGTAGGAATTTATGAATTAGCAAGGGGAAGAAACTAAAATGATCTGTGTGTTAATGGATTACACTTGTAATCCATCCAGACACTAGTATGAACTCAATAAAACTATGATAGTTACATATAGAAATATTTATAGATATGTATCCATATCTATAGTAAAAATATATATTGTTGGTAGAAATATATATTTCTGCACAATTAGAGAGACTAAAAAATGATATCCCCTTAGCAACCACCACACTGTAAGCCCAGATCTTGCTTTCTATTACCACTCTCCAATAAAAAGGAATCAGGACTTCTTGGAGAAATGGTGGATTCTAGGCCTGGGCAGGAAATTATATGAGATTGGTGTGGAGCACCTTGTAATGCCAGAAAGTAAAAAAGTAATAACACACACATACACACATCAAAGGGGGTATGTCAAAGGAGCATAGAAACCAACAAAAAGAGCTCCCAATGGATAAAGCTGTAACAATTTGAACAACAAAATAAAGCAGTATTGGATTATGGCCCAAAGTATAAAGTTAATATGCACAAATAAAATATATTAAATTAAACAAATTATTAAATAAAACAAAAAGGTGATGACAATTTGTACCATTAGAATAGTGATTTTGAGATATCTACAAAAACTGAAATAGGAAATTATCTGGGACTTGTATTGGTGACAAAGTCACAGGTACTCCTAATATTATTGTGGTTCATTGCCTGCATTTACACTTAAGTAAATGTTAAATGCTAAATTTCAATTATGGATTAGTAAAACTAAAGATGTAATATTCCCATTCAGATTCTACATACTCTTTGATACAGATTAAGAACCTCCCAGTCTATGGTGATAGTAATGGCCTAATTTTATGAATTTGAGGCTCAGAGATATAAATTAGGTTGCCGCAGCTTCCAAAAAGCATGCATTCCAGGACCAAAAATTCTTAATGATTTTTGTTGGAATTCTGTTTGCTACACTACCTCCCAATTTTGGAACTGCTAAACAGAGGAGTGGGATCTCTTCATGGATTAAATATGCTTCCCTGGCCTTATGCAATGCAATGCTTATGCCACTGTTCAAATCCACAAGGTAAAGCTGGATTGTATCTAGTGATGAGAATTCCAAAAGTAAGTTAAGTGAGGAAACTATTCACAATGAACTCTAGTGTCAAAGAACATCTTTACTTGGGAATGGCTTAACAGTGGGAGAAAGAAGCATTGTCTTTCCTGTAAAGAGAGCAAATCCTTGGCCCTTTTTTCCCTTAAATCCCCAAACCACTGAGCGGTCAGAAGAAAGAAAGGGAGGGAAGAAGTGAGAGAGAGAGAGAGAGAGAGAGGTGGGGGGCAGGGAAAGAAAATGAGAGTGAGAGAAAGAGAGAGGGGGGGAGAGAGAGAGAGATTAATAGCTGGTGCCAATTTAAAAAGGTTAAGAAGGGGCTTATATGTGTATTTGCTTACGTTATTCCCATGGCCAATTCTGATAAATCCTTCGGAAGCAAAAAGAAGATACAGCCATCTGTTAATGTAGATTCTGCTTCTTGGCTTCCAAATATTATAGCTGTCACCAGAGCAGCCAGCCCAATTGCGGGGGGGAGGGTGTTAGAGGCAACATCTGTACACTAAGTGCACCACTAAACAGCAACAAAATCCTGGGGCAACCCCTCTGTTTCCTCGAGTGCTTTCTTTGGTCGGTCCTACTTCTCCACTCCTTTGGGAGTTTCCCATTCTATTACGTAGGCGACAGGGTGAGAGGACCCAGCTTTCATGATTGTGAGTGGTTTGGCTGTGTGTGTCCATGTGCGCATTTGTGCGTGTGCGTTGGAGAAAAGCGAGGCGTGCTAGAGGGGCTTAGAAAGATTAATTGCCAATTTAAAACATTTCCGGAGCCTTCGAATGTTTATCTTAAATGACTTTCCCAGTCTCAAATTCAGCGAAATGAACAATACCGATAAGGAAAATGAAGAGGGTGGGAAACCCACACAGTCAAATGGAGCTGTCCATGCAGCGGGCGTGACAGGGGAGCTCTCGCAGGAAAGGCGCTATGCAGAGAAAGTCCCTCTGGCTCTTCTCTCTCGGTCCACAATCCAGCAACGTTTCCTCCGTAAAAGCATTAATAGAAAAGAAACCTGAAATCCAGAGGGGCAGAGGTCGTCGGGAGCGGTTTCCAGGCGCCCTTCCCCGCGGCCGGGAGAGGTCCCTCTCCCCCCGCGACTGGTACGGAATGTGGTGATCCGGCCCGGGGCGGGGGATGACTTCATGCTGCCGGAGCGCGGCGGCGGGAGCAGCTGCTGCAGCCGGCAGGTGGGGTGGGGGCCGGCGGAGCTGACCAGGCACTCGGCCGGGCTCCGCGGCACTGCGGCCCCGGGGCAGCGGGCACTGGGACGTGTGCTGACTCCATCCCGAGAAGGTAAGCAGCCAGGCTATTATTAGCCTCCACCAGGTCGCTCGGTTCTTTCCGGTCGAGTAGTAATGGGGTTTGCGATACACGGGGAAGAAGGGGAATATCTCTGCTGCATTCTGCAAAGGGAAAAGGGAGCAACGACTGGAATTGAAATGTTAATCAGCCAAGTGCCCGAGATTGGAGGAACGGTGTTACTGGGCAAACAAAGAAGACGGTCAGATACTCTTCAAGATAATAGACCGTTTCAATGCCAGACTCTCTTACGTATTGAAGAGGATTCAAAATGTGAAATAATTGGAGATGTACTTTTATCTTTCTACTTCAGCCTTCACTTGGTTATTTTCTGGTTTTGGAGCAGCAGGTCCTTCGAGGCAGCTTGATGAAGTAATCAGAAATCTTTCCTCTCCTGCCTTGCTCTGTCCCCTCTCCCTTGTTGTCAGGATGGGTCTGTGCCCATTTCAATGTCAAACACCTACTTCAATACTGAACCTTTAGTTCAGAGTCTCAGATTAGAAGAGAAACTTCTCTTTTCTCCCGGAGTTCAGCTTGGGTTGAGCAGCACTTGTCTCTGCTTTTCCCTTCATTTATCATCCTCTCTCTCAATTACTTCATTGATTTCCAGCCCCCACCCCTTTCCCCGGGATTCCGGGTCCATTCACAGGTCAGTTCTTGTTAGTTCCTATCCACAGCCCCTACTCCATGACTGATTTTGTCAAGGACCTACAAAGGGCATTGCCCTACACCACTTTTAGTATTCTCTCTGTATACTGTTACTTGTGTCCTTCCCCCAAATACAAGGCATGAAAAATTCTGCTTTTAGCCCAGTACCAACATGGATCCTGATAACTCCCTTCAGTGTAGTCACTGCGGCTGCATGAGGATTTTAAGGACAGCAGAATCTGTTGGGATGTGAGAAAGAGAACCATACTTACATGTTTACTACCTGTGCATAGGTGAAAGTACAAATGTGAATGTGTCTATCCAGTTTTTCTTGAAGCTTTTTTAGTCCGGCTGGGTTGTGAGACACCTATCTGGGTAGGGTTTGGGGCGGGTCCTCCCCAAAAAGCAAGCAGTGTGTTTGTGCTAAGATTCCCCAATAACCTCAAAAGAGTTCCAGAGAGGCAGTTAGAAAGCCAATGAAGCTGGCCAATCTAAACCTCAGGTTATTTGAGCATCTTCAAGTCAGTTTCACCATTTAGAGATTCTGACCACTTGTTCTAGGGTTTCCCCCACAAACCTCTTGCTGCTGAGCTCAAATGCCTTATTCCTGTTGCCACCTGGGGATGTACATTTGAATAATATAATTGAAATGGTTAAGATGGCTGTGATGGGGATTGCAAATGTGTCATTTCACCAACAGAGAATAGTTGCAATAAGCCAGACTGGGGCATCTGTGTGCCAATACTCTATTTAACAGGCGATCTGTTATCTTTAAATTAGATAATCTGACTCAATAGCCATGTGATTTTATTTTAGCAAATTAAAATAGGAGATCAATGAAAAAGATAGGTAAGGTTTATAGCTAAAAATTTATCTCTGCCCACCTTCCTTTTTATATATTGCTTTTAGACAAAGATATTGGTTCTGAAAAATCATGTTCATTCTATTAGATATCATTATCGCTTTTCTGAATACAATTTATTTTTATAAAATACACTATAGAAGGATTTGAGTTGGCTTCTTTGTCTCTACCTTTAGTATATGAGGCAGAGGGAGTGGAGTAGGTAGGCAAATACCCAGTCCAAGTGGCCCACTCGGGGAACTCTTCCTCTGGATCATGAAAACCCCAGCATCAATTTTTTTTAGCTTGTTGTTGTTATTATTATTATGTGTTGAGTGCAATTTAGATTTGAAATATTAAAATTTAAAGATTCTGGTATTTTGAACACAGGCACACCAAATAGAAGAGGGAACAAAGAGCAAGAACAACAAAACCCTTTATTCTACTACCTTTCTTTACTAATCTTCAAATATTTAACTATATACATAATTATTCTGAATAATAAGTGATATAAATGTTAATATAATAATTCATTTTAAAGAAATTATGAAATACAGATTAGTACAATTGATCTTAAGTACAATAAAAATTTCTGTAATTTTGAGGTTTCTTTATGTTGACTACTAGTGCATAAGAATATCCTAATAACAGTTAGAAACTGAAAGTGACTATTAGTTGGGTTTCTGAAGAAACAGAATTCTTTGGCAAGAAATGGGACAGACTGGTATTGCCTAAGCTGGCATCATACCTGCCAGTGGCTTCATAGGTGAGATGAATTCACTAAGTTATGGACCTGCATTTGAGAAGCCTTTCTGGGAAGAGAGAAAATAAGTCAGAAAATTTAGATTTTCATTTCAGTGCAACTGAGGAAGATAAATAAATTTAAGGGATTTCTGAATTCGGACTTCGTTATTTTGAAATAATTCTTTTTTTTTCTGAGAAAAATGTCCAAATACAGAGTCCAACAAAAAAATGCATGTATGACTTCATGGCTGGAACTGATTTATGAATTTATTTCCTTTCCTTTAAACGTTTCCAAAGGAGAGGAAAAATTAATTGCCTGGTGTTCAAGAGATGGAGGAGGAATGAACAACAGGAGGATGTGCACTATTAGATGCCAAATGAAGTGCAGGCATTGCTACAGATTTGACAAGATAGCATGAAGTCAATCTATTGCTTTCTAACAATGTAAAAAAAACATTTAGTTTAGTGGGTGGCCAGTGTTATCAGTACAAATTTAAGAGTCAAAGCTGACTTCTCATAACAAAAATCGTTTTCTGATTCTACCTTATTTTCATTAGCTACAATTGAAATAGACTTATTTTGAGATTTTGAAACATGGAAAAGAAAAAAAAGTAGGAATAATAAAGCTAAAGAAGGGTATTTCTATTTAACCAGTATCTACAGTAAAAATAGTAGAAAAAGTGCTATTTTGAAAGTTGTCAATGGCCTCCTAACAGCCAGATTTATGTAGCATTGAACCTTCTTCATTATGTCTTTATTTTTAAGTTCTCATCCATGTTCTTTTTAAACACCTGTGTTTATTTTTTTAATAATTCATTTATTTTGGGGGCACCTGGGTGGTTCAGTTGGTTAAGCGTCCAACTTCGGCTCAGGTCATGATCTCATATTTCATGGGTTTGAGCCCCACGTCGGGCTCTGTGCTGACAGCCAGCTCAGAGCCTGGAGCCTGCTTCAGATTCTGTGTCTCCCTCTCTCTCTGACCCTCCCCTACTCACACTGTGTGTGTCTCTCTCAGAAATAAATAAAAACATTAAGAAAATTTTTTAAATTATTTATTTCTGAGAGATAGAGAAAGAGATTGAGAGCGCATGAGGGTCTGGGGAGGGTCAGGGAGAGAGGGAGATAGAGGATCTGGAACAGACTCAATGTTGACAGCAGAGAGGTGGATATAGAACTCAAATTTATGAACCATGAGCTCATGACCTGAGCCGAGGTCAGATGCTTAACTGACTGAGCCACCCAGACACCCCAATACTTGTGTTCAAAAGTATTATTAATAGTTAATATGCATCAGGCAGTGAGATATCTCTTTATCTAGTTTCTCAGTAATCCCCTTAAGCTACCCTGTGATCAGCCTAAACCAGTCTTTATTTCCAGTTTGTGCCCCATGATGTCATGCCTATATGTCTTAATTTGTTCCTTTCACTCATTCCGTACATATCAAAACCTTACTCACTCAGACACTGTCTCTTCCATGAGGCTCTCCCCATACCCACTGTCTTTGCATCAGATAAATTTTCTCCATTGTCTAAAGTCCTATTGCACTTTCTATTTTGTTGTGTTCTTTAGTGTGATGATACCTTGTTCTTCTAAAGTAGTCTTGGGGAACATGATTTGTGATGGACAACTTTTTATTACCTGCAACTCATAGTACACTGCCTAACTACATACAGATATTTTTCGACTTATGATGGGCTTACCTCCCAGTAGACCCATTGTAAGTTGAAAATATCATAAATCAAATGCACTTAATACACCTAACCTACCGACCACCATATCTTAGCCTAGCCTACCTTAAATGAGCTTAGAACAATTACATTGGCCTGCAATTGGGCAAAATCATCTAACACAAAGTAAGTATTGAATATATCACATAATTTATTGATACTCTACTGAGGGTTAAAAACAGAATTGTTGTGTGGGTACAGAATGGTTCTAAGTATATCAGTTGTTTACCCTCATGATCGCATGGCTAATGGAGCTGTGGCTTGCTGACACTGCCCAGCATCACAAGAGAGTATGGTACTGCTTGCTAGCCTGGGAAAAATTCCAAATACAAAAATTGAATTGTAGTTTCTACTGAACATGCATCTCTTTTGAACCATCATAAAGTTGAAAAATCATATATTGACATCCTAAGTCAGGAACTTTTTGTCTATGCATAGATATTAAATAATTTGATTTTAGTTAAGAAATTAGTTATTATTTCCCAGGAATATATCTCTACCTACTCTTCTCCATTAGCTAAGTTCGGCTCCTAATATGTGTGTAAGTATTGTTTAGTTTATAAAAACATTTATATAATAATAAATATAGTGAAAGCAAATTCAAATAATTATGTTCAACAAAAGTTATTGTGAGCTTGCATGCCATTAAATGTACATTAGCTTATACAGACTAATAGTATGCTAAGCTTAATAAAAACTTTAAAGGAGAAATTGTTATCTGTTTTCATCATGTATGATGAAATTTTTCTGCATTTTTTGAAAAAGAATAAGCAGAACAAGGTTCCTTACATATATAAGTACTTGTTCAGTTGCAAGACACTCTGCAGGTACTTTCATTTGTGGTATCAAATTTCAACCTTCTATATCTGTTCACTTTACATTGAGGAAACTGAGACTCAAAAATATCACCTAAATGTTTAACATACATTCTTTCCAAGTTATCATGCTGCCGTTTGTTTGAAGTATTAAGAGTGAAGGAAAGCATTATAAAAATGTAAGGTTGGAGCCATCAGAGCACTTTAAAATTGTTTTGT